TGCGCGGCCGCGCACATCGCTAGAAACCTCCGCGCAGAGATTTCTAACTGCCGAGCAGAGCTTTCTACCAAAGCAAACGTGGGGAAGTCCTTTGCAGGTGGCTGGAACTGGCCGCCTGCAAAGGACCTCCCCAGACTTGTTTTGATGAGCCGCCCATGGCAGTGGCGGTGGTGCCTCCCCCTCCTCTCAGAGCACCTCAGCTGGGCTCTGGGTTACCCCTGCTGCCGCCTCCACCTCTGCCGCTTTCCTACTAGCTCCCGCGACCGCATGGCTCCTCAAGCACGGCAGAGGAAGGGGGAAGAATAACGCGGGGGCCAGCTCAGGTGCTCCGCGTGGAGAGAGAGGCACCACTGCCACGGGCGGCTCATCAAAACAAGTCTGGGGAGGTCCTTTGCAGGCAGCCAGTTCTAGCCACCTGCAAAGGACTTCCCCACGTTTGCTTTGGTAGAAAGCTCTGCGCGGCAGTTAGAAATCTCTGCGCGGAGGTTTCTAGCGACGTGCGCGGCCGCGCAGGCGCGCACCTTAGAGGGAACAGTGCCCCTGACCTAGATGGCTTTGGAACTAAGGCAGGCCTAGAACCTACAGTCTTCCAGTTTCCAACGTATGCCTTAACTACTACACCAAACTGCCTCTCTATCTATCTCAACTTACTTGGGCAAATCTGCCTGGTATCGCATGGCTTGGTTTCTTGGTTGACTCCCGTGCAAGTGCCTCCACAGGAAGGGGTTGGATTGGTGCAAGTTCGTTCCCTCAACTGGGTTCCAGTTCCACAGGTCACTGAGCAAGGTTTCCAGGCACTCCATTCTGACCATCCACCCATCACTGCAAGGAAAGAACAGCTGACATCAAGGTTGAGGCAAGTGGAGACTCATCAGCCCTGCTTGGACATAATATAAAGCAATCCACATCCAACCAGAGGAATTACTAAATTGCAAAGTCCCATTTCCTTGGTGAGCGGAAGGGGGAATTCCAAAAAACATACACACACGAGAAAGGGAAAGTATCAAAACAAATTATAACATAGGAAACGGTAATTTGTGGTCTTATTAACCATCATTTTCTGGAGCTGTGTCAAAAAAAAATGCAGAAACATGGGATCATTGTTCCACACAGAATCACCGACGTCCTGTGCAAATCATCAAAGAAAACTGTCTTTATACTTTCTGATTACAGTCATTAAAGGAAAAAATAGAAAAATTGGAAAAACAAAAAGGTTGTTTGCCTGCTTTCAATTGTCTATTGTAACTCTCTTTAGAAGCAATTTAGCCTGCTATCTCTTCCACCCCAATCCTATACTTGTCTCATGTTTTTCTGCCCATCAAAATAATTCCTGAAGACATGAAGAATGAGGATGCTTGTGGTGTTTTTCTTCGTTCTAGTTCATTAATAACCTTATTTCATAAACTATAGAAATTCTTTCAAAGCCAGTATTATCCACATTACCTACATACTCTCCCAAAGTAGGTGCCTCAGACATTGACTGTCTCTTTGGGAGCCCTAGAGGTGCAGTGGTTAGAATGCAGTATTGCAGGTTAACTCTGCCCACTGACTGGAGTTCAATCCTGACTGGGCTCAAGGTTGATTCAGTCTTCCATACTTCCAAGATCAGTAAAATGAAGACCCAGATTGCTGGGTGGTGTATTAACCATTAAGCAAACTAAGCATGTGCTTAGGGCACAAGGTCCAACGGGTTGAGAAAGTTGAGAAAGAAAGAAAAAACAGTGAAGGTTTGTATAGTATGTACAAAGAAGGGGGGCACTAAGATTTGTCAGTGCTTAGAGCACTAGTAAGTCTTAATCCGCCACTGGCTGGGGGCAATATATTGATGTAGTTGCCCAGAGAGTGCTGTAAAGCACTAGAGGGGTGATATGTAAGCAGTGGTGGGTTGCTAATCCCGTTCCAACCGGTACGGTTGGAACGGGGCCGGCAGCGTCCTCGTACACGTGCGCAGTTCACGCATGCATCTTAGCACCGGCGCAATGCTCCAGCTGCTCGTGGAGAATCGCGCAGGTGCTGTATGTGCCATGCGCCTGCGTGGAAGCGCAGAAGCCTTTAAAGACTGGTAAGGAACGAGGGTGGGTGGGTGGGCCCTTTGCGTTCCCGTAAGTTACTTACTTCCGGGTTCACCGAGCAACCGGTCCGCGCGGACCACCATGGACCGGTTGAAGCCCACCCCTGCATGTAAGTCTAAGTGCTATTGTTATTTATGGATATAACTAAAATGTTCTAAGCTAATACAGGTAGTCCTTATTTAACAACCACTCGACTTACAACCAGTTCTCATAGATGCAACCATCACAGTGACCCCCCTAGTCAGAAGATCATGGTTCTAGTGCTTGCAGCCAGTTCATAACTTCAACTAGTTGCAACATGGCAGTTAGACTTATATACCGCTTCATAGGGCTTTCAGCCCTCTCTAAGCGGTTTACAGAATCAGCATATCGCCCCCACAGTCTGGGTCCTCATTTTACCCACCTCGGAAGGATGGAAGGCTGAGTCAACCTTGAGCCAGTGAGATTAGAACCGCTGAACNAATCGAGTTTGGAGTGGTTTACTTTGAGTTTGTATGTATTGTTTGCCCGTGTATTATTTCAACCCTCCTTCCTTCCAGATTTCAGACTTACGGAAAATTAGGATAGATGGCCTGGCAGACTCTCTTACGAGACTTTTTAGGTTCAGGTCCACAGGCTGGCTCACAGAGACCCCAAGAACTCCAAGTTGTCCATTGTCCCGTCACTGAGAAGAAACACACCAATCAAACAAGCAGTCTTCATCGGGGGCAGCCTTCACCACTGCCCTTTATCTAATATAGGATCACAATTGATATCGCAGGCTGCACCCAGGAAGACATGAGTAGGAATCCCTGCCTTATCATAGAATTCAAACATGTGTAACTTGGTTACTATATTAAGCAACTTTTTGGCTTTCCATTAATCAACAGGATGAGTTAGGTTTGCCTGATAAAATAAGCTTCCCATAAAATTCTTAACCCAGTTTAACACTAACCAAACTTACTGAATGATTCTCCTAGGTTTGTGAGTAAGCTAACTAAGGGCATCGTGTAAACACAGCCACTCAAAGACTTCAAGCCAGTTGCTATCCCTCAACCACAAATTACTTGTGAAATTAGATGAAGGCTAAAAAGAATTTCTTAGAGGACTCATATACAGAATTAAGGTGGCACAATCCCCTTACAGTTGTGAATGGATGAGGTAGGGATTTTGGAACAGGGAATTGTAAAAAGAGATGTTATGGAAAGTCAGCCATGAGGTGAGCAGAGTTTGCTCCCAGGTTTGTGTTATGAACAACAAAAGCAGCAATTAACTGAATACGGTGCTGGCTTGGTGAGCAATCTTCTCCCTTATCCACATTTTGCTGTTTGAAAAGCATTGTGTGTGATTTACTGAGAAAACTGTTCATTTGTCACTTAAAAATGAATACAATAATGTTTTTCTGATGCCATATTAAATACAAAATTCTGCAGGTAGAATGTTTTCTAGATGATGTCATGGAGACCAGCCAGTGAGTGCTGCTTATAGTTAGCTTCTGCTACAAACATGTTAAAAGAGCCCTTCAAAATTCATCCCTACTTCTGAAAAGTTCTTGCTTTCCCTTTACTGCACTTTTGACCTCACCACGTGCATCAGTAAATGCTGGAGCCCTGAACTTTTTCAGCAGGTAATCAATATGCTAACAAAAAGATAAAAAAGATAAATTCTACCTGGATTTATGGTAGCCGAATTTGGCCCTACGTTCTGCCTCGGTTTAAATTCCCAATAAGCAACCGAGTCAGAAGGCCATTTAAAAGCAGTTTAATAGGCAACCTTGATAAAGTGGGGTCTCTCCATGAAAAAGGAGAGAGAGAGAACCTTGATCCCCATATTACATTCCTTTTTATAGTTAACATAACAAAGAAAAATGAAACAGGAAAGTTGGTTGGACAAGATAAGAATAACCCCTCCTTGCACAGTAAACCAACCACAAAGCTTGTTTGAATTTAGATAACCAGATGTTGGTTGACAATAAGAAACTTTTTTCTTATCAGAAGATAGTATCCAGACATCTTTCTGTAAATTAACTGTTTAGTTTAGGAATGTTAAAAGCTATCTAATGAATCCATACAAACATAGGATAAACATTTCCCTATATTCCAATCTGTAATGAGCCTGAACATAGAAAATAAGTCAAATTAAAATACAAAATAACTGTGTTAGTTAACAAATTTCAAAATCCATGTCATGTGCCTCTCACTTAGGAGTATCTGAATATTCAAAACACTTTTCAGTGGAATCCCTGTTACTTTTTAGAACTTTCTCAGGATTGTGTAAGAAAAAAAACAGACTAAGCCACCTTCTGGCTTCTCCAGATGTGCTGGAATTCAATCCCTAGACAGTGAGCTCTTGGAGTAAAATGAGACTAGTAATTGCCAGGCGCCTGGAGCCTATCAGATTGGGGAAGATTGCTTTTGGACATGGAAGCTCTTTGTACCTGTTCTGATTCCCAATACTCACCACTGCATCCGTCGAAATGGTAGCAGACCCTGGATTCCCTGCCGGATAATGAACAACGGCTGCCCCCATTGCGGTATCCAATACATTTCCTAGTTCTCCTCTGAATGGCAGGGATTTCCTCACACTTAATTTCAAAACCAATTTCGTGACGGGTACACTCTTGCCAAGCCCCCCATTCACTCCAATGACCATTCACTGTGGGAAATGTATAAAAAACATCTGGTCAGTGCAGTAAAGGGTTGAAACCAGGAGGCAATTCTCCAGCCAGATTCTCTGAGTGGGAAGAATCTAAGCCCAAAGACCACCCACAGGAACAAAACCATCCTTCCCCATATATCTGGGTCCTATCTCTCGTAGTGTACCCAGAAGGGCAAAGGAACAACAGTACTCTGCTGAAGACACCTGATGTTGCTAGCGCAGAAGTACTAAGGACTAAGCATAAAATATGGTCCTGACTCAGAGGTGGTATTCTGACCAGTACTAGAGAACCGGTAGTGGAAATTTTGAGTAGTTTGGAGAATCGGTAAATACCACCTCTGACAGGCCCCGCCCCCATCTATATTCTCTGCCTCCCGAGTCCCAGCTGATTGGGAGGAAATGGGGATTTTGCAGTAACCTTCCCCTGAAGTGGGGAGGGAATGGAGATTTTACAGTATCCTTCCCCTGCCAAGCCCGCCAAGCCACGCCCACAGAACCGCTAGTAAAAAAATTTGAATCCCGCCACTGTCCTGACTCAAGAGATCCCGTCCTGTTTCTCAGTGTTCAGTTTACCCCATCCCTTAGTTGAGCAGAAATCACACCTAATTGAGATTCCAATTTATGCAAAGGTCAACTTGGGTAAAGCTTTCTAGGACAGAACAGATGCATAACTAGTGCGGGGTGGGGAGCACCTCATGGGATTCAGCTACCTTAGAAGCAACTCTCCGTGTTCAGGTTGTGGATTAGTCTTTCACAGGTTCTTTTACCTTCTTAGTTTTCCCCATTACCTGGGCAGGGCACCTTGATGGTGCAGGGTTGTCTACGTTCAGCCGCCCCAAGGCAAGCCCTCCCTCCATACTTTGGTGGAGGGTTATCACATTGACGATTCTGCACGACTTGGCCGACCCCACAGGTCACACTGCAGGGTTGGGATGGTTTCCAGCTGCCCCAGTTGCCATCCCCTGTGGGAGAAAAAAGTGGGTGGAGTCAGAAGAGAGAAGAGAGACGGGTCCTCATAACTTCCTGGCCCCCATACTTGTTCAGAGAAACCATAGAAGCATATTATATCTTTCCTGCTCCTGAAAAGTTACCGGGACTCGCTTTCCTGAAACTGGCACTTTCCAGATTTTAGGTATTTAGGTATTTATTAATATTTGTATGCCGCCCTTTTCCCTGGGGGGACTCAGGGCGGCTCACAATTCAGAAGGAGGGGGAGACAAACCAAGTTACATATAGGACAGTACTTCGTTAAAAAAACACAACATTCATACTATTCGGGTACGGTGAGGTCTTTAGCCCCAGGCCTGTCGGGACAGCCAGGTTTTAAGGGCTATGCGGAAGGTCTGGAGGGTGGTGAGGATACGAATCTCCACGGGGAGTTCGTTCCATAGGGTCGGAGCTACCACAGAGAAGGCTCTCCTCCGTGTGGTTGCCAGTCGACATTGACTGGGTGATAGAACTCAGAGGAGGCCTAATCTGTGGGATCTAATTGGTCGAGTGGAGGTAATTGACAGTAGGCGGTCTCTCAAGTACCCAGATCATACCCAGATGTCCTGCAGCTCTCCTCAAGCCAAATCAAGATCACCAATGAGTGTGTTTCAAAATATGAGCAAATCCGAATGGGCCAAGGGGTCTATTCACCTCGAACAAGCTGGCCCAAGACCCCAAGGACAGGGGTTGAAACCAGCATTACTACTGGTTCGGTGCCCGAAAAAATTTGCAAATGCACTCCGCGCAGGTGAGCATTTGCACTTAAAAAGGTCTGTGCATGTGCACACTATTAAAAAGCGGGGGGGGGGGAATTACATTTGTTCAATGAAGATTGTTCTGTGCATGTGCAGAACAGAAACTAAAGATGGTGGCACCCAGGATAGAACCAGTACGGTCACGTGCCCAGCTGAGTTACTACCTTTCGGCCAAATTGGTCCGAATTGGTAGGAACCCACCTCTGCCCAAGAAGCACAGCCTCTGGTCTTCTGCTTTGTTGAGAGTGTTGTCCTATGGCCAGCTATTAAGGGAAAGAGCATCTTCCTAGGAGTGCTTAGTTGCCTTCTACACCCTGCTGGTTGGGGATGACTGAAAGTGTGGCTTCCTTCTCTCTTACGTGGGCAGAAGGGCAGTCCTGTGCAGGTTTGGGATTCCCGGCTTGCTCCTGGACATGGATTGCCTGGAGGACTGGAAGAAGGTGGAGGGTTGTTACATGGACGGGTTCGTTGTTGCTGAGGCTGTGAAGCTGAGCCTTCTACAGAACAGGTATGGGAGCAGTGCTGCCAAGGTCCCCAGTTGCCCCAGTTTCCATGAGCTGCATTGAAAAGAAAAACATGAAAGAAGAATGAGAATCAGAAGAGGCTGGGTCAAAAACTTGTGGATGAGACCAGGGATACAATTCATATCCATCATTCATCAACAATCTGCTACCTTGAGTTCATCCTTTCTTCTTTCTATCAGACCTCAATCTATCTCTTCCCCTCCATCTGCCTGATCTGATTAAACTGATTTACCACTGAGATTTCCTTTAACTCAGATTTCCCCAGCTGGTTCCTCCCAAAAGGGGTAAAACTCATTTTGCAAAATCCTGAGAGCTGACGTTAGAGGAGTTGAAGCTGCTATCTTAATATACTCATAACTTTTCTATCTCTTCTTATTGTCTTTTATCTCAACATTCTCAAAGTCCTTCTTTCTTCTTTCTTTCTTTCTTTCTTTCTTTTTCTTTCTTTTTCCATACCCTTCCATACCCTTCTCTTCCCTTTCTTTCCTTCCTTCCTTCCTTCCTTCCTTCTTTCTTTCTTTCCATAGCAAAGGGAGTGTGAAAACTTTTTAAAAATTAATGAACAAATATTGCTATTCATGGTTGGAAGGAAATTCTGCTGAAATTCCTGAGATTGTGAGCCAGGCCAGAAAAATGTTATAGCTCCTTTATGGAATTGCCAATGGTATCCTTTTTAGATCTTTTGACCCTAAATAAAGTTTATTGGTTGTTTCTTATCTTACAATCCTAAAGAGGAATTTGACTTTTGTCAACAACTTCAAATAAAACCATTCTGTATTAATCTGCTAGTAAAACTCAAGAGATCACTGGTATTTTGCATAATTAAGAAGTTGTCCTTTGACCTTTTCCTATCTAGTGATGAATGGAAGTCATTGAAGCTTTGCTGGCTGGGGAATTCTGGGAGTTGAAATCCGCCAGGCTTAAAGTTGCCAAGTTTGGAGACCCCTGACCAATGTTCCCTCTAATTTTTTTTCAGGGTGAGCGGAAAAGTACAGTGTTTGAGCGGCACAGTTTCATGCCTGAGCACCTAAGAGAGCAACAGTTTGAACTNGGGCAGGACAGGTAACACTGCCAGCTCACTTAGAATCCTGCTTCAGAAGACTACAAAATCTCAAAATTCAAGGTGATGCAAGGATTAAGAAATGACCCTGGCACATTTCTAGCTTCGTGCTTAAGCAAAGATCAAGAGGAGAGAAAAATGCTTACTAGGGCAACATTCTTTCAGAAGGCAAGACTTCATTTCCCGCTCACGTCTACCACTTGGACATTCCATCGGCTCTGAAGGTAAGCCATAACATACGCGACTGCGCCGCTGGACACCTTCAGTGCAGGAGACAGAGCATGCGCTCCATGAGGTCCATTGACTCCACTTAGCTTCGCTAAAGGAAAAGCAGAGCAAAGATAACTTGGATTAGAGTTTCCCCATAATGTAAAATCCAACCATGAAGGATTCCATTAGATCAGATCAAGGGTCCATCGAGCCCAGCATCTGTTTCCCAACAACAAAGGAAATACTTAAGGAGCTTCAGTAGTGGGATCCAAAGACAAGCTAACAAGAACCATCTTCGGTTAGAGGAACGGTCCATCTTTCCCCAGTGTTTTGATCCCATAGTGCCGTGATGGTGAACCTATGGCACATGTGCCACAGGTGGCATGCAGAGCCCTCTCTGCGGGCGCACGAGCCGTCACCCCAGCTCAGCTCCACCACGCATGCACATGTGCCTCCCACCAGCCAGCTGGTTTTTGGGTCTCTGCTACACATGCATGGGGCGCATGCAGAAGATGTGCACACATGCGCAAAGGGTGGGGCACTCAGTGGGTCATGTGCACATTTCATTATGGGTGTGCATGCACACGCTTTTGACACATGATGACAAAAAGGTTAGTAGCTGCCATCCAGATGCCGCCAAGGAGAGCAAGATATGAGCAAGCTTCCACTCATGGCAGACTTAACCATTATTAATCTGTCAAAAAGTTGTCCATGTTTTTGATTATCATGACATGTTCTGTAATTTGACTAGGAATTGTATGTAAGAGTATGTTCATATCTGGGTTCCATAATTCCACAAAGAACAAGGGGAGGGGAGGGGGGGAGGAGCTGATTGCCGGAGTGTTAATTCAATGAACAAGAACATTTAGCTTAAATATGCTGTTGCATTTCTTTAGAAGGAATAATCTGAAATTAAAACAGAATGTTTTGTTTCTCTAGGTGGTGGGTTGTCAATGTTTTTACTACCGGTTCAGGCGCACTCCCGTGTGCTCTCCCGTGCTACGCTTCCGCGCATGCACAGAAGCATACGGGCGGGTGGGCAGAGCCTCCCACCAGTGCTACTACCGGTTTCTGCTGACCCAGGCTGACCCAGGAGAAACCCACCTCTGGTTTATACTCAGATATAGAGAACGCTATGCACTGGTTACTTAACCAAATCCAGTGCTAGATAAAACAACAGGCAGAGAGAATGAAAAAAAAAATCCAGAAGTTATAAGTACAAAAATACATCTATCGAAATGTAGGAAACTGTCTTATACACCCTGGTTTTACAGCTATTTGTATTTGTATTTAAGTTTATTTATATGCCGCCCTTTTCCCTGGGGGGACCCAAGGGCGCTTTAAAACTAAAAAGGGGGGGGGGGACAAACTTTTAACATATAGAACAATACATCATTAAAACACAACATTC